CCACGGCTGGCTCTGGCTCTAGAGAGGCAGATCCAGCTGTCAATCAGGCAGTGGAGTAGATCCCGCTGGTTTGGCTTTAGTTCTCTTTTGCCAAAATTCATACCTCCAGGTGTGTTGGATTCCCGCTCCCCTACTCTGTGGTTCCATTCACTAGCCCCTATATAACTATTTTACTTGGTAGTGACATACCGGGCAGCTCATGTATCAGTAGAAAAGGCATGTGACACAAACAGGAGTGTATCATATACGGAACATTCCTCATTGGCTGTTGCTCTTAAAGAAAGCAAACATAGGAGCCACAGACAGCGGAGAGGTAAGTGTAATGCTTCTTTTTAAGGACCTCTTTTTGGGTGACGGCTGTGTTGCTTTAAGTGCCACCACAACATAGCCTATATTTTTTTACAAAAAAAGGTGTTGATATTATGTTTGTATTTAAAATCACAGGCCGGCATTTTATAGTGCAATAAACAAGGCATTTAGGCTCCATGTTCCATATTTGCCTTGGAAAACAATTTGTTGAGTTGGTCCTGATGAGGATGGCAAGTATCTCAAGAGATGAGAAGATGCTGTAAACATCATTCCTAAAGAAATGTTAGTGTGGCAGGAAAGAGACGATAATTGTGCCATTTTATTGGCAGCTTACTGTGATTAGTGAAGAGAGAAGACAATCATGGTTATCATCTCAATGAACAGAAATGGTGGCACAATGAGACTGGTGTAAAAAAAACCTTGGACTTCAGTCTTCAGAGAAGATGGTGTTATAATCACTTATGTCACTGTGACTGGTGAGGGGAGAAGATAGAATAATGCTCCTTTCAGATATATCACTGTGATTAGGTATGATAGTCCAGTAATGCTACCGAACAGTCAGTTTTACCACTGCGATTGGTAACAGGAGAAGCTGTCATTATGTCTTTTCAGTGATATCACTATAATTGAAGAAACTCGCAGTCCATTTATGTCAATGTGGCTGGAGAGAGAACAAGACTGATAGTCTGTTCAGTTATATTGGTTTTATAAAAAGAAATATCAGAAAAGCTCAAGGAGGACTGAACAAAAATGAATCAATATTATATCTTCAGCATGTCATTTTTAACACAAAAGATACAACTGCAGAACTCTTTTTTAATGTTTTGAACAAAATAAAGTCTTCATTTTATGTAAAGCTTTGTTACATTTTGTATTTTTGCATGTACACACTGATTTACATGAATACACGGATTTCTGCTGTAAAATCCAGTTTAAAATGCAGTGGAGGGCATGAAGGTTAGCTTCCTCATTCAGCATTGCCCATTGCATCCAATCAGAATCCATCTTTAGTTTCCCAACTCTAGTAAAAAATGTAATCTGACTGGTTGCTATAGGTTAACGTGCAGTACACAACATTTAAGCTTTACTTGTTTATTGAGTAATCCCAGTAAAACCTTCATAGAAAAGGTTTTTTACATGTTTCAGTCCATCACAAATCCCAAAAATAGCCATGCTACTGCGCTATGCACTGGTTCAGTGGGAGGTGTTTTTTTTGGCCCCACCTCACCATAACCTGTCTAGTTGTACCAACCTGGAGTTGAGCTTTATAATACAGTATATCTAAAGCTACAGCCATGGACACATATGTTGGTACTTTTTCACGAAATAAAAAACCCCACAATTTTCTCTGACATAACTTGACACTGACGAAAATAATTTTTTATTCCATATTTATTAAAAATCAGACTTTCTTTTTAATTTAATCAACAGAGTATTTTAAATTATTAAACAAACTACTAAGACATGGCCTAAAAGAGACAATCACTGCAAATACTTGATTTCTGTAACTCTCCTCCTTACCATCTTGTCTTGAATTGTATTGTGATTGTAATGTCTTCCTTATATTGTAAAGCGCTGCGTAAAAACTGTTGGCGCTCTATAAATCCTGTATAATAATAATAACTCTTAATGAGATATTTGCATCTGACAACAGGTAGTTTGGCCCACACTCCCTGAGTGTGGGCAAACTGCTGCCTCTGGTTTGAGGGATGCCTTCCCCAGACTGCATTTTTCAACTCATAGATGTTCGATAGGATTCAAATCATAGCTCATAGAAGGCCACTTCTTGTTTTTACTCATTCCTTCAGCTGTGTATTTTGGATCATTATCTTTTTGGGGGACCCATGACCAGCAACTGAGAGCTTTCAGCCACCGGGCAGTACTTTTTGCTCCAAAATTCCTTAATATTCTTGAGATTTCATTGTGCCCGGCCCAAATTCAAGGAATCTTGTGCACGATGTTGCCTCAAAACCTAACCAAGCCGCCTTCATCATCAGTATAGTTTCTTATCTTTACAAATTAAGCAGTTGAGCATCAGAGGGCGTCCGTAATGTTTCAGCAAGCTCTAGAAAACTAAAAGTGTTAGAAGCTTGTTACATCCTGAGAGAGCATTCCAAACGTTTCAGGTTACAGGAGAGGATAGACCAGGTATTTTGGTGAAGTTACATAGGTTAGAGGTGTTAAAAGATGTGGGAGAGCATAATATGATATCAACTTGGGTTAAAGGGATCAATAAAGAGGGTGACAAGGTCTGGGTTTAGCAGAGTGGAGTGGAGTGGAGTGGAGTAGAGGTGAGAATAGGATATCTAAGGGGTAGGAGTTTGTAGCAGAATGGGAAGGTCATTTTACAAACAACATACGTTCATAGGAAAAGAGAATGGGGTTGAACAATTGGGAGGGGAACTGCATAGTGACTTTCCAATGGTAGGAGCAGGGCCGCCGTCAGGGGGGTACGGTCAATACTCATGTAAGGGGCCCGGGCAGCCCCCGGGGCCCACCCAGGACCCATACATGAGTATCGGCTGACGGTGAGGGGCGAGGACGCAGCGGTGGAGGCCTGGCCCTAGCAGCGCAGGGCCCCAGCATTGCCATTCCAGTGGCTTCGAGACAAGCAGCGCAGGGCCCCAACAGCGACGCTGCTCGTCTGAAGTCAGTCCAGCGGGTCGGGTGTGCAGGTCAGTGGCGGATCCGAGAGGGGGGAGACGCTGCCGTCCTGAAACTGACAGTAGGATAGCGGCACCATATTGTGGTGTACACCAGGCACATGCGCTGCAGTGCGTTGTTAGAACGCATCGCAGTGCATGATTTTTTTCTATCATAAAAAAACATTAATTTAACTGTGGCAGCGCATGGCAAAGATTTGTGACGCATTGTCGTGCGTTGTAATACCTTGTGTTGCCTGTATCATTTTATCGCAACACAAACACCAACACATCACAAAAACCATTTATAACATAAATCACTTATTTACAATTTAGCATTCCTTCATTTTTTTTATAATCTTCCTTTCCTCAGCCTCTCATTGGTGTGGCAGTATTAAAGTAAAGTGTTAGGCCTCATTCAGGCGCCATTCACACCAGGGCTGAAGCATTTCACCATGGTTTCTGCACGATTTTTGAAAGAGCATTTTTGGATGTTTTTAGTCGCGTTTCAGCGCTGAAACGCAATTAAAAACGCTCAAACGTGCTGGGATTTCTAGTTACGCCCCTGGTGAGGACACTCTCCTGCACTCCTCCCCTCCACTGGCTGCCAAGGTCTCTGGAGAAAGACGTTCTGCAGGAGTTAGGTGAGCCAGTGGGATCTATGGGTGATGGATGGTACGCGGGGGGGATTGGGAGACTGTAGAGCTGACAGTATTGCTGACTTTATGTAAAATGTATAGCTAGTGGTATTCTGCATGGATGTATAATGATTATGCAGGAATGCAGAATACCACCAGCTATACAGGACTACAAATTCCAGCACTGGCGGAACTACCGGGTCGCAGCGGTCGCAATTGACACGGGGGAAGGGGGGTGCTGGTGGTATTTTTGAATCGATTATACAGATCCAACTACATTGGCCTATACACATACAGCACAGCAATGAAGTAATAAAATGAACTAGGATCACACTAATCCAGCACGTTATTAATCTCATGTGCCCCACTCAATATGGCGCTCGTGCAGAAAGTTTATTGGGAAAACTCACCGGCCCAAGTGGCTCCGTCGGCTAACGAAGGGGGGAGGAGTCCGGTGATGTCACGGACATCGGCGTCACCGGACTCCTCTTCCCTTCGTTAGCCGTCACGGACACGATCAAAAAGTTTGACGATTAAATCGAGAAATTCATCTTTAATTTCCACAGCCCTAAAATATATAGTAATGGTAATCCACAAACACATACTTACAGATAATTGCTGTACATGTGACCATGCACATCATCTCAGGGAAGGAAAATGCCTTTCCCTGAGATCTCGTGAGATTACAGATGAGATTTCCCAGCAATGCTCTGCTGATGTGACCGTCCCAGGATGCAACGCTTGGGCACAATTACATCATCAATTACATCATTTGTGCCCAAATGGACCAGGAAGTAGAAAAAATAGTAAGTAAAAAAAAAAAATGTTTGTTTAACTAATGAAAGTATGATTATTTCATATCGGCACACAGATGCGATTTTTAGTCAAGGGGGGTAAAGGACCACTTTAAACAAATCTGCTCAAACAATCATCCAAATAAAGACACTGAAACTTCTCTATAGTTTTGCTTTTATTAACACTGGTGCTTCTGGTACAAAAATATTATAACTGTAAAAACAAACAAATTCATCCAAAGCAGAAAAAAAATTTGGCGCTGTATTTTAAGGCACAAATATTTCCCAGAATAAACCTATGTGTGATAAAATCTAATACACAAACAGAACACACAAAGAGTGTTATCAGCTCTGGCCATATTCAAATCATAAGACTCCTGCTAAGTTGAGGGGTCTGCCACCCAAAGCTTCTTTCCTAAAACAGGCATACAGGTATGTCAGTCTAACTGTATGAAAACGTGTGCAAGGACTGTCTGTGTTGCCCATGGCAAGGTATCACAATTTTTTTTTCAACCACTAGAAACCTGAAACGTCAGACACTGGCTGCTATGAGCAACACAGACAGTTCTGCTCTGAAACATGTTCAGATATGAGAAGTGACTCTTTTCCACTCATGCTCATTCCAAGAAGATATCCGTATTCTTTTCTTGTTTCTTCCTCCATCTCCGGAGCTGGAGCTGAAGTTGCAGTTTGTTGGTGAAGAAGAACTGCTTCCAGCCAATGCTCTGGGCTAAAGATCTCATCTCTGTGGTGACGGTATCACAAGACCTTTCCACAATGTGCTCCCATAGCTTGTCCGAATTGCACAGCTGTATGTAAAACAAAAAAAGGAAATGCTTAATATTTATCCACATTCACATGTCTGTTTCAAATGGTTTTTATTAGTTTTCAACAAGTAACATGGCATACAATGAGTACAGTCGTTGGTATAAATCAAGTACCGATATGCGTTAACAAAAGGTGTACTGACCTTAAGGTCGGTCGGACCAACAAAAAGGAAAGAAACAGTAGGAATAAACATTGCCAGCTAGTATTCACTGTCTATACATATAACATCTGCTGATGAGCTGGCGGGTTCCCTGGGTCGCACCAAAAGGAACATGTGCGACCCATGTACGCATGGATGTCATAGGTCTTATTCGTGGGTCAAATGGCCTCTGTGCCACAGTGGCGATGCGATGTATGATCGAGGCAAGTACCCTGGTGTCTGACCTACGGAACGTTGGGAACCCATAAGGGTGAGGTCCTAATTAACTAAGAGGGGAGGTGGGGGATTGGGGTAGAGGGGGTGTGTGGCAGGAGGGGGTTTGGTCATGTTTGGCAGTTGTGCTGGGACGAGTTATGGGAAAAGTGATGCCTCGTTATCTTCCTATCAGAAGTCATTCTTGTTTTTGCAGGTTGGTAAAGTCCGCTGTGCCTATAAAATAGGCCCAGCAGGTCCACATCTTCCTGAATCTATCTAGATTGTCTAGTGGCCATCAGTTCCTCCATTTCGTAGACATGGCCTGCTTGTGTGAGCCATTCGCTTACTGTGGGCATATGTTCCTGTCGCCAGTGGCGTGGGATGAGTGTGCGTGCTGCGTTGATACACATTCACATGTCTTTTCCAAACATGTATAGCCTACAGAAACATATATGGGGCAGCCAAGTTGGTTGTGTAAGCACATTGGCATTATATTTCATTATTTATCTAATATTATTAATATATGAACATGACTTATTCAGTTCTAAAGCTCCTCCCTTCAAAAGGTCTACTTTCAGGTATCACAATGAGACCTCCTGGCTCTTGAGGGCTAGTTCACACCATAAAAACAGTGCGCTCCAGCCCAATTTGGTGATCGCCTGCACCCGAACGGTGGGCACATCAATGCCTGCATTTCGGTCCAGTGCAGCCACAAAAATGCTGCATGCGCGGAACGCAGACATCGATGTTCGGGTGCGAGCGATCGCACTGCAGCCAAGGGGGGAGGGGGGAACTGGCGGTTGCGTGGCTGCAGTGCCATTGACTTCAATGAACCGCCACGCCCCCTCCCTTGAACGCAGGGAGCCGGCCAGGAATTGATCCAGTGCGTTCCAGCACCAAATCGAGCCGGAACACACTGTGGTGTGAACTAGCTCTTATAGTGCAGAGAACTAGACAGAACACTGAATTTAGAAACGCTTAAAGGGTATCTATGGTCAAAAACGGAAACAAAATCTGTATCTCTATATTGAATTTCCGTAAATTCTATCCCACTCCTAATAACAATATCTATCTAGAAGTTTGTAAACTTACTAATTGAAGATGTCCATAGGATGCACTGACACAATTTCACTCCGCCCTGTGAATATGCACTTCCTTGTATCAACACTCTAACAAAGCCTACCGTGTGAACTAAAACTGTAAGCTCATCATTGCTTTCTGGAAGCAATGCATGATGGGATATGTAGTGTTGAGAAATGGAGATTGCATCACATGAGGCAGCGGGGAAAGGGATACATGGTTCACTGGGAATCCAGGAAGTTGATGAAAGTGTTGGGCAGATAGAAGGCAGCACTCACTATAGAAAAGGGATGTTTTCAAGTAAGCTTTGATTGCATTAGAAACAACTCTACTATGTATTCCTATTACAATGCTGATGGTATAACTGGAGAGGATATGCTGGGACTCTACAACTCTTTTATTTTTTACACTTCTCGATCAGGGCGAGTTGACAAAAGGAACAGGGGATGCTTTTCCATAGCACATCCCCACTATACTCAAGAGTATCCTTACTGCTAGGCCAGAAGACCAGTAAGACTATAGAAGGGACCTGGCCTGGGGAGGGGAGAGGAAGGGATTATTGTAGGAAGGAAACCAATGGTTTAGCAATCATCCTACTGGGTTTTATTTAGTAAAGTGTCTTAGCTACCAGGGCTAGCTACAAAATGTTCTAGGCCATGTTTTTCAAAACAAGGTTGAACATAACAGATGGCCTTTTTTTAAAAGCAAAGTCACAATCTATCTGTTGACATAATGATGTTGTCTGCACATGTTTCTTTTATGCACTGATGAGCAGCAATTGCCGTCCATTCATGCACGGGGCCGTAAACTAATGGACCGGCTCACTCACACTAAGAAACCTGTAGAAATGAGTATTACCAGCTAATTAACTGCTGAATGACCAGAAAGTGACGTTATTTTCTGTTTTAAAAAGGGACATTTTAGGTTTTACATTAAACTGCGAGAATCAATATTAGAAGTAGTATTAAACTTTTAAAGATTTTTCAATAATGAATCCAGATCAAAGAAATATACATTACGCAGCAAAGGATTTCTGTGCCCAAACGCCTACAGTCATCATGTTCCCAAACAGCTCCAACTCTCTCAGCTCGGCTTCTCTGAATTTCCCATCCAGTACAAGGTCACATAGGACAGAACAGTCTCCAGCAGCTGTCCATCTAATAGTTTGGAGAAGGGAGGAGGTGGGATTAGCTTGTCCTGCTGTGTCTGTTGACTGTGTAGATATCCCACCGCACACCTGACCGTTGTATCCCTTATTTGACGGGAGCTGACGTGACCATGTATATCCAAGGCATAAATATGTCACCAGCACACCAAGAATCTTCATCCAATAACACCTTTATTGACGTTCAATCATAGTGTCAGACAAATAGTGAAGTTTCGAGACCATGCAGGATCCCTTCTCCAGGCATCATGTCAGATGGAAGCCTGTGTGGTCTGGTAACATCACTTTTTGTCTAACACTATAATTGAACATCAATAAAGATGTTATTGGAGCCCTAAGGAGCCTTGGTGTGCTGGTGACATATTTACTTCTTGTGTGTTTATGGAGACAAAACAAATGACAAACGCACTCAACAATTTGTTACCAGTTATACAGTAAGGTGCACACGAAATGGGCTTTGAACAGTAAACCAGTAGAAAGGTATCATGGCACACTCACAAACCAGCATGTAAAACAACTTGTCTCACCACTAAGGTTAATAACGGAGGTTTGGATAAGCTGAGAACCCCCATGCGTCACTACACCAAATCGGTCAAGCAAAACAAATGACAAACGCACTCAACAATTTGTCACCAGCTATACAGTAAGGTGCACACGGTTCTCAGCTGCCATTGGGATGTGCGGGATCCCTTGTGTGTTCCTGTGCCTTTAAGGGAGGTTGGGCTTCCTCCTGACAAACCTGCACCCAATTTGAAATCTTCTGCCCCCATGTGCTCCAAGATGGAGACTCTCATAGTTTAGAGTTAGGACCGCACTATAAGAGGTGCCTTGGCGCGGCTGTGCGGCTTTCACATTTTCTGCAGAAGACGTGTATCCAAACCTCTGTCATTATCCTTAGTGGTGAGACAAGTTGTTTTACATGCTGGTTTGTGAGTGTGTCATGATGCCTTTCTACTGGTTTATGGAGACACACACGGCTTATTAGCACAATAATGGTGGCTCCATAGGACCCTGCAAGGCAAAGGAGTGACCCCAAAACAGGATATCAGAGACCAGCTGACTGTAGGAAACTAAAGCTTTTTAACATCATGGAGCAGCATCCATTGTTAGTTATTTCATCAGCATTTGAAACCTTTTGACTAGACGTCAGTGTTATAGAGTGAAAGGAGATAATAAGACAACCAAGGTGAAGAGACTTTCAGTAACTGAGCTGTGAACTTCTGCCAGGAAACTCCTAGTGAAAGCTTGGGGAGTAAGATGGAGCACAGCCAATGCAGAGGAGATGTTAGCTTTGGAAGACCAACTCTTTTATCTGCAGGTCTTTGAAGTAGCACAAAGCCCCTGTGCAGGTTAGGAGTTACACCCATGAAGTCCCATCAAACGCATTCACTCCGCTCCTATATTTACTTGCTCCTGGGTGCAGTGCAAGCACCACAGTGCCAGTTCTCAGTGTTCACCGACATTGTACGGACTCATTAGCTGAACATGCATGCACTGCCTCTAGCACAGATGGAAACCTGTCTGGAGATAAAGATGGGGGCAGCTATTATAGGTCACTGACTCAGAATATAATGACAGCCGGGCAGCTCACATTTCCAGCAAGGTCAGCAATGGCAGCCTGTATATTTTTCTTAGTACAGTTTCCTTCCATGTAAAAGCTATACAGATGGGGTAATGCAGCTGCACATGTCAGTATGAGTTCTCACATTTAACAAAAGTCACCCCAACCTTTGTTTCTCATTTACAAACATATCCCCCCTTCTCATTACATGAATTAGCCAATAGGCTATCTAGTCAATGATCTGGCAAAGCCAAGTTCCTGGGCGATGCAAACCGCTTTTTGGATCATTCACATTCATGTATATAAGTGATGGGTCTTGTGACATCACATAGGGATCCTTACAGAGGCAAACATGAAAGTAGATCTAAGCCCAAAATGGATGACATTTACAGGGCTATTCACAAAAGGGTGAAGAGTTTGGAGAAGTTTAGTAAAGTTCTGTGTATTATAAAAAAGTGCTATTTTTTTTTAAATACAGGTCTTATGTTTTCCATCATTTTGCAGCATCTCAGTAGTGCTGGTCTCCTCCAGACTCTTTCAGCCACTTCCTGTCTATATGCACTAGCTCCAGCATCGATTTTTAAATTATTGCTCTGGATAGCAATGGGATGATCCCAGCTTGGGGATGACTAAGCATGCTTGAATCTGATGCAACACCATCATACAACAAATGAATGAACTGGTGTGCACCACATTTATTCATTTTGTTGCAGACGGCATTAATCAAGCAGAAATTGGCACATATGTTGGCTTCCACCAGCCTTTAGAAATCCCCCCCATGAGTCCATACTCATTTAGTGTGTGACTGTAAATGAAAATGATGAAATGGGCCTGTTTTATCTACGTGTGATGCCAGGACGTTCTGCATCAAAATTGTTTTCGGATGAAAGGTTCCTTGGCTTGAAGGAATTTTTGGATTTCCTAACTCGTGACTCAAAAGCTTCTGATTAAGTGTTTGGATGCAGAACAAAGCTCAGAATTTAGTCATTTCACCCCCAAAGTCCCTGCTCTTTCCAATTCAGAACCTGGGATTTCATGTACTCCACAGCTACAGCAGGATTGCCACTAATCTCTTTAACACATTCTCTGCCCAAAAGACTGCCAGTTCCTGTGAATGATTATTTTTGTGTACGTGGCTACCTGCAAAGATGAACGCTGATGTGGCAGAACGCCGACTAAAAACCGGTTACCCAGTTATAGCATTACCCTTCATAACCTGGAACTGGGAAAGGTCTGGAGAAAGGCTTCACAAAGATCATTTAGTCGCCCTCTGCTGGATAACTTACAACACACAGATATCAAACATTTAGAGACGGAGAAAGGGAATAAAAGAGTGAACTTGTGGAAACAATAGTAGGTCTCTGCAGCTCTGTGCAAAGTCAGGCATGCCAGAACTGCAACATGTAATGGTAACGTTATAACTTACAATAAAACAAGGATCCCTCTGAAATGACAAGTCTGAGCAAAAGACTTATCCAGAACATATCCAGAGAGCTGCCACATCACCTGACTATTGCCATGCAGTCAAAAAGACTGCTCTGAGAGCTGAGCATTGCCAGAGAGACTGCTCTGAGAGCTGAGCATTGCCAGAGAGACTGCTCTGAGAGCTGAGCATTGCCAGAGAGACTGCTCTGAGAGCTGAGCATTGCCAGAGAGACTGCTCTGGGAGCTGAGCATTGCCAGAGAGAGTGCTCTGGGAGCTGAGCATTGCCAGAGAGACTGCTCTGAGAGCCGAGCATTGCCAGAGAGACTGCTCTGAGAGCCGAGCATTGCCAGAGAGACTGCACTGAGAGTGGAGTACTGCCAGAGAGACTGCTCTGAGAGCCGATTATTGCCAGAGAGACTGCTATGAGGGATGAGTACTGCCAGAGAGACTGCTATGAGAGCTGAGTACAGCTATGAGACCCGAGTATTGCCAGAGAGACTGCCAATAAGGGCTCGCCATATGCAGTCACCTGTGTTTTCCTGTCTGGGTCAATGCAGGTCACTGCAAGGGTGCATAGAAAGTAATGGTTTTCTCTGTGCCTTGTATGCACAACAGAGAGGTTTGTGAGCCTGGCTGAGTGGCATAGGGAGCTGTATGACACACACAGCTTATTGCCACACACTCCATAGGACCCTGCAAGGGAAAGGAGCCACCCTAAAACTGTATATCAGGGCCAGTGCTCGGGGGACCCCGCTGATTCTGCAGAAAGCTAAAACCTTTAAGTATTAAGAAGCAGCATCCATTGTAAGAAATGTAATCAGCATCTGAAATAGTTTAAATATTGTTTGACTTTAATATCACTTTAAAATACAAAAGAAGCTCCTAATCTGACAAGAACATAAATGTGTTCATGTGACTTCAAAAGAGGCACCCGGGGTTCATTCCTTATGTCCACAGAGCACCCCCTGACTTGGTGCTAAAAGCTCACCATTTACTATGGATTTACTAGAAGCCGATTGGTTGCCATGTACAGCTGCTCCAGATTCTGTCTTCTCCAGTCTAAAGGTGCCCATACACTGTACGATTCTCGTACGAGAATCGCGGGAAATCCCGCGATCGTACGAGAATCGTACAGTGTATGGAAGGCGTGCGACCGTTTCTACTGTACGGTCGCATGTCTTCTGTCGAACAAGCAGGCTTGAAAACCCGCCGAGAATCGTACGATTTTAGGCGGGTTAGTGGCCTGCTTGTTCGACAACTGCAGAAGGGGCCGGTGTGCGCACGCGCACACTGCCCGTTTGCAGTGATCGGAAGCCCGCCCCTCACTGCGGTCATCGGAAGCCCGCCCCTCAGCGGGGCGGGCTTTCGATGATCGCAAGTACGATCTGCCCGTCCAAGATGGGCAGATCGTACGAGCTTTCAATGAGCTTACGACCATCGCAAGACAAAAGGTCTTGCGATGGTCGTAAGGTGTATGGGCACCTTTAGGCTGGGTTCAAACCTGAAATCCCATAATTTCCTACGGGCATGGTTCCCACCTGGCCGTATTTCAGCTCGTGGAAACGCGCTGAAAAACGCCCTATGCCCAAACAAGTACAGGAGCTTCTTTGGGGTGCGTATCCATTGTTATTCCCGGTGTGGCTCGGGGTTAACAAAGCGGTAACCCCAAGCCACACTCGGGAATACAGCGTAGGTCTTACCTTGTCCGCGATCCCCGCTGTGTCCTCCGGCCGCTACCGTCTTCCGGGTTCCGTCCCTGGCGAGCGTCCGCATTGCAGGGGGGGCGGAACCAGCGGGAAGTTTGAAAGTTAAAAAAAAATAAAAAATCATACCGCCAGGTAGGTATAAACACAAGCGTCGAACGCGCGTTTCACTGAACGAAAAAAGGTGCTAAAAAAAGCACTAAAAAAGAGCTGAAAAAAAACGTGGCACAGTCATACTGTAACATGTATAGTAAGCTTTAGATATACTACACCGGATCCAGCAATCCCGCGCTAGCCCTACAACAGCTTAACAACAACGTCTACACCTTTTTAGTTTTTTTTACCTCAGCTATACAAGACGAGATCCAGTCATATATTCGCTATTTACCTTTTGGAATGTATGAGAGACCTGGGAGAGCTGAGCGATGTCCTCTAGGTCCAGAAAAGTCAGGATGTAGAGTAGCAGTGACTCAGAAAGGCGCTCCAAGAAATCATACTGACCCCGGCATAGGTCAAGGACGTAACTCAATACCTTCTGGCTGAAGACTATGCCAATCTGAGCTGTGTAGGACAAATCACAGTTACCACATCAACTTCTATACTCAATCTAACAGAGACAAGAAAGTGATCTCAATCCGTCTTATTATATTATATATATATATAGCAGCCAGCAGTATAATGTGAGGCACCGCCCTCCTTACACATTATGTGTCATTACACCTCCGAGTACATTTTAGGGGCACTACAGTAAAAACACACCAAAGAGCTCACAAATCTATTTTTTGCTTTTACCTGTTTCGTCTTTGATTAATCGATTTAACTTTTTACATTTTTTTTTATTAAAGCAGACTGATTGAATAACTGCGGACAGACCCAAATGATGGCACAGTGGCGTACTGGTTAGCACTTCTACCTTGCAGTACTCAGGGTCCCTGGTTTAAATCCCGGCCAGGCCGCTATCTGCAAGGAGTTTGCATGTTCTGCTTGTGTGCGTTTCCTCCAGGTACTCCGGTTTACTCCCACACCCCAAAAGACATGCTGGAAGGTTAATTGGCCCTGTATGTATGTATGTAAGATAGGGACCTTAGATTGTAAGCTCCTTGGGGCCAGGGACTGATGTGAATGTGCACTCTGTAAAGCGCTGTGTAAATTGTCGGCGCTATATACAGGTGAAACTCGAATAATTAGAATATCATGCAAAAGTAATTGCAGTAAGTGCTGCAAAAGGGGCCCAAACCAAGTACTGAGTACATATGCATGCTTGTACTTTTCAGAGGTCCGATATTGTTCTATGTACAATCCTTGTTTTATTGATTGCATATAATAATCTACTTTTTTGAGGTTGTGGATTTGGGGTTCTTGGGGTTTTCATGAGCTGTAAGCCATAATCATCACAATTATGACAAATCACGGCTTGAATTATCTTGCTTTGCATGTAATGAGTCTATCTCAGATATTAGTTTCACCTTTTAAGTTGCATTAGTGAAATAAATGAACTTTGCACGATATTCTAATTATTCGAGTTTCACCTGTAAATACCTGTAATAAATAAGAATTAAATGACCACATTTCCCCAAAGCAGGACCGTCCGTTTTCCATTGAGCGTGCACAAACTTGACGGGTACTTTGGGACATAAAGTGGACTTTTACCCTCTTTCACTAAAAATCACGTCAGCATACAGCTCTGCATGCCGATATGAAATCATCTTACAATCATGAGATCTCAGGGACAGGCATTTTCCTCCCCGGAGATGATGTGCATGGTCACATGTGCCAGAGTTCCAGGAAGTAAATGGGGAGCTAGTAATCTTCCCTTAGTAAACATGGCCACTGTTAGAAGACTGGGGAGCAAAAGAGAAACAAGGTGTGCAAAGAATACAAATCCTGGACTGATCTAGAAGTTTGCGTTTGTAGATTGTCATTACTAAATATTTCTAAAGGTGTCTTTGTTGTCATTTCAAAGATATGGGTAAAGTCATAGTTATATAATTACATGGTCTCTCTTTAAAAGGAAAACTATGATGGTTTTGGGACTTTTTTTTGTTTGTTTTTACATTTCAAAACTGATTTACATTTGTAAATGTAAATCCAGCCAGCCTAGCCTTCATTGCTGACGGGTCATAAACTTCTGTGTGTAGTCAGGCTATACAGCAAATGAGAGCCTAATGTAAAATATGAAATGAAGGTGAAAGTGTCGCCTGCTGGTCTAGAAGAAGAAAGAAAAATGTAAAATCATACAATATTTGATATTTATCTGACTTTTTTGATGACCCTAATAAAAGAAGAATTTGTACTGCAGCGATGTACAGAATATGATTTTTTTTAAAAGGTTTCCCAAATGTACACCTTAATGTGACATTAAACCCTCAGATTGTTTAACATAAACCAATACTGTAATGTGTGCCTTACTGTAATCCATGGTAGTTTCCCTTCTCTTTGCTGCTCTTCCATTTAAATCCTCATCTCTTCTCATGCTGGGGGAGAACTTCCCTTTGCAGCTGAGTGCCTCTTCCTGTAGTGCTGGCTCAGGTTGTGAACCTTCACACAGACACCATGTAGCCATTCCAGAGACAAGGCAGTCTGCTGCAAAGGGAAGTTCTGCCCAGCATGAGAAGAGAGACATTTTTAAAAGGAAGAGCAGCAAAGAGAAGGGAAACAACCATGGATTACAGTAAGGCACACATTACAGTATTGGTTTATGTTAAAAAATCTGAGGGTTTAATGTCACTTGAAGCAGGGAGGCCGAGCTGAAGCTGAACTCCGGGATAAGCAATTATTGTCCAAATACATGAGCATTGTGTATTCTTTGTGGGGTTTTCCCCCCAGATCTGTGCAGTAATCGAATGTGAAACATGGAGCTTCCTATAATTCAGACTAGCCACTGCTGCTCTATCTCCTGTGCAGGATGACTGGTCTGGTCTCTGCCCCCTCCTGTAGTTTTTTGCAGGCAGCCTGTAGTGGGTAGAGCCGGTTGGGCCCCTGCACAAGCCATGTACAGCTATGTCACTATTATGTTTACAAGGTAATAACCAGGTTTGCAAAGGGATTTTGTGCACGAAGTACATTTATATATTTTGTGGTTAAAGAGGAATATTTAAATGAATATCTTTGTACCCGGGGGTTCAGCATTAACGCAGAGAAATACAGAGCTCCCTCTAGTGGCTGATTTGCCAATCCTTTATAAAAGCTGAACCCTAGGAAAACAGCTGAATACGCATACTGGTGCTGCTTTTCCTTCAAATGGATTTGTAATTCTCTTCAGGTTGTGTTGAGATCCAAGAAACCTGTCAGAGAATACAATCAGAACCTCTATCTGCATGCAACAGCACAGCTTTATCAAGTGCACCGGTCACAACCAGTCAAAGGCAGAGGTGTTCTGTAGTCCAAATCAGGAGTGAGGGGCCATGGGTGATAACGGTGCTCTACCCTGGAGTGGGAAAGCATTGTCACTGAAGGACAGAAAGTGTTTCCTGTCAGGATCACCAGGTGATCCCACCGACTCCTCCGGCCTCCTAGACCGGTGCCTGCAACCTCTTCTACCCTGGGCTCCACCAGTCAAAGGACCGCTGATGTCTTATGCAGGTACACTGACCTGACATCAGACATAAGGACGCCAAGGACATTCCGGAGCGGAGGGAGAGAGTGCCGACCATGGTGGGACCGTGGATCAGATCAGTAAAGCAGCTTTATTTTAACCCCCTTGGACAAAATGAGCACTTAACCCTTTCATTGCAAGGGCAGGTTTGTGATTTTCATGGAGTTCTTCTTTAAGCACCTTTAATAGACATGAAAGGGCTCTCATTGGATAATGGCCTCATCAGTGGGTGGGGCTTAGCACTTAGGGCTCTCATTTCTGCGCTGGTCTAGCCAATAAATACATGGGCACATATGGGCGGGGGCAAATTTGGCATCTTCAACATGGGTGTCATGGGAGGCACCGTCAAGCTCCTGTAATTATAGATCGTCTTATTAATTTTAAACATTTTAAAATTAAAGATATTCACTTTAAACACAAATTCTAAATCTGTCCACTTCTGTAATCCCCATTGAGAGGTATTACCCCTAAGGGCTTGTTCACACCAAATCCGGACCAGATCTGCATGAGTTTCTGCATATGCAGTGCATTTTTTTGGGCCAGGGACTGATGTTCCGGTCCGTTTTTGATGCGTTCCAGAGCAGAAATAAAATAAGGCTTGCTGCAGTTTTTTTTGGAACTGAACACTGTGGTGTGAACTAGAGCCCAAAATACCATTGGAATACATTGGATGCATTTTTGATGCGTTCTGTAACCTGCTTGGTGTGAACAAGCCCTTACAAATGTGCTTCATTGCACTGGGATTGTCATGTCAGATCTCACAGGGCCACCTGCAGGTAAAATCCGATATCACAGGGTTACCAGTATTACAAACTGACAAAAGGAAAACTTTTTTCTCTTCTTAACCTGTAAAATATAAAAGCACATTAAACAACTCTTGGAGAACAATATTAGCAAAATATAACTTTGTATGTCCCCAATAAATAATGTATCCCTTCTGTATCAAAAGTGATGGCACAATTACTGCTGAATGCAGAGGCCCATTGCTAAAATGACTCCGGGGCTTAACTAGTTAACCATTGTTTTATCCAAGTGGAGTCTCGGCACACAGGTCTGGGCAGGAAAGGGGATCAGGCTGGACAAGTCCAAACTTGCTAAAACCCTTTAAGTTACTCATGTTGGTCACATATATTTAAAATCGTATTTTTGATCTTCTATTCAGTTTGTTCGACAACATCACAAAGTGCACCTACATATAAATCATGCATACTGATTTTGTTTCGGCACAAGCATGGGTGTTTTAAAGCAGAGCAAACCGATACTCAGATAGTAACATAAAGCTTGTGCTAATAGCATTGCAAGGGGTCCAAAATAAAGAGCAAAGGAAGGGCTAAAATACTTCACTTTTGTAAAGAAATGCTGCCCCGGGCTCCATTGTGTCCTGCCAACTAGGGATGCACCGATAACGCTTTTTCGGTATGGGGTACAAGAACCGATATTTTTTCCCCCGGTACTCGCCGATACCGAATACCGATTCCCGGAGTCTCATTAACCCCTTCGTGACTGACGACGTACAGTGTACGTCGCCAGCATCGGGGCTGTTTAAACAGACTCCCGGCGACTTTTGCCGCCGGGAGTCTGTTTAAACTTGTAGAGCCGACTGTCGGCTTTACAACAGAAGCGATCCTGGCGACTTACCTGTCGCCAGATCGCTTCTGCGTCCCGAAGAAGGGAAACTGGGCATGTTGGGTATCGTTTTACTCGTTGTAACCTCATCTTTTATATTTCATTAAAAAAATGGGTAATTTGTTGTGTTTTGGGGCATTTAATTAAATTTGTCACTAAATTTTGGGGTTTAATAAGGAGTTGCGCTAATATTGCGCAACATAAAAATTTTCAACTACCACCATTTTATTCTATAGGGTCTTGGCATTCAGAAAATATATAATGTTGGGGGGTTTTACGTCATTTTCAGGCCTAAAATGTGGAATATAACATGGGTGCAAAAATTGAAAAAAGGGCCTCA